GTCCCTGAAGGGCAGGTTCTACTGCCCAACACCACTGCTGGGGCTGAACGTGGTGCCTTCATCTTTCTGGGTGGTCAGAAATGGGTGCCCCCCCGCAATCCCCACCCATGATGTGTCCTGGGGTCCCTGTGTCCCTTATGACAGGGTCAGACAGCCCTGGCTTAGCGGAGAGCTGGTCCCAGCCCCTGGGAGTGGGGAATGCCACAGCAGCCCCTCTTCCCCTGTGGCTCCAGTCAGGGCTAAATAATGAAGGGGAAGTTGAACACAGTCAACCCCGAGTGGGTGCTGAGGGGGCACCCTGGTCCCCGCCCCGGCCACCGTGCCTGAACCCCCTCTCCAGTGTGGCTGCGATGACAGCGGCTGGCACCGGCTCTTCCGCGGCGCCTCCTCGGCATCAGCCGGAGCCGAGCGGACCCCAGACCCCATCGGGGACCCCCCGCACCCAGAGCGGCCTCCGGTGTCCCCAGAGATTCCGAACCCCCTGCGGTGCATCCCGGCGGGAGCGGCAGCGCTGCTGCCCGGGAAGGCAAATGGCGGGAGCCACGTCACCCGCTGCAATGCGGATGCGGCCGCCGCGCGGGCCCGAGCACCCCTGGGAGGATCCCGGTGGGGCAGGGGAACGCGCTGGGACGCGCAATGCGGCCGCGCTGCAGCCGCGGGGCTCTCAGTGAACGGGAAGGCGGATTACAGGGGATTAGATGGGGGTTGGTGCTGAACACCCCCCCTGCGCCCCCCCGGCTCTCCATGGACTTGCAGTCAGGCGGGGAGCTGCACCCCACAAACACAGCCCTGGGGCTCGGGGGGAACCATGCAGGGAGACTGGGACACACCCGAGACAAAAGGAGCGGGATCTGCCACCCCCCAGTTGAAATCCAGGGGGGTCCCGGGGCACGATGCCCCCCGGAACGGCAGGATTCAGGACTGCGCCCCCCGATAAAGATGAGTTGGGGGTGCCGAGATTGAGAAGAGCTGTGGGGGCGCCGTGGGGTGCAGACGGGCCGGGAGGGGTGACCAGAGCAGCGGATTACCGGCGTCGGGACGCGGTTAAGGCGGGGGGAGGGGGGCAGCACGTGCCATATCCCCCCCTCCCCCCCATGTCGCAGTTTTCCTCTGCAGCGGAGCCGCACCGGCGGGGGAGGGATGCGGGGGGGGAGCGGGAGGCGCCTTTGCCCCCTCCCCCCGCAGCACACACAGGGAGGGGGGGGGCTGAGCCCAGCGGAGGGGAGGCTCAGACCCCCGCCCCCCCCGGAAGCCCCAAACCGTGCGGGGGGGGGCCCTCCGCAAACCCCGGCCCCCCCCAAAGTCCCGCAGCCCCCTCCCGGCAGCTGGGGGGGGAACGGAAGGAGGCGGGACGAGCCATGTGCATAAGCCAATCGGTGTTGGGAGCATGTAGATGGGCGGGTGTGGCTGCCAATAGGAGTGCGAGGCGGGGGCTGAAAGCCCGCCCCCATGGCCGGTATATAGGGGTGTGCTCGGGGGCGGTGGCAGCCTGATACTTGCGTCGATTCCTTGCTTGTCGGGACGAGTAACAGAGTCTAAGCCATGGTAATGTGGAATGTGGGGCGCATGGGGGGGGGGAACTGGGGGAGATTGAAGGTAGGGGCAGGATTGGGAGAGAGGGGAGGGGGAAAGACTTGGAGGGGAATAGAGGGGTTGGGGGGCACATGGCAGAGCGGGGTTGCAGAGGGAGAAGGGGGGGAAACGAGGCGGAGGCACAGCAGGAGCTGGGGGGTGCTTAGGGCGGGGGGAGCAGCAGCCGGGGGGATGCAGCGCCCTTGGGAGGGTTACAGCAGCCTTGGGGGGAGCAGCACGTGGTCCCTGGGCCGGTGGCCCCCTCCGGTGGGGGCGGGGCTCTTGTGCTTTTGGCGCCCAGCCCCGACCGTTAACCTTCCCGCGCGCGGGAAGGCGACACAGCCCCACCCCCTCCGCAATGAGCACATTCCCGCCCGGTCCCCCCCCCATCACCGAACCCCGTAACCCCAGCACTGAACCTCCCAGAGCCCAACCCCATGGGGCTAATCCTGACCCACAGCTCCTGAGGAGCCCCCCCCCCCGGCAGCTGGAATGCCGGGAGCAGGTGGCGGGTGCAGGGTGTGGCCGGGAATGTGCTTGAGGGGGGCCATGGGGACCCCAGGGGCGACAGCCTCAGTGGTGCAGCCACCTCCCTGCTGCTGCGCCGGGAACTTCCTCCTCCTCTTCCTCCCGGCGCAGCCTCACCCCGGCCCTGTTGTAAGATGTCCTCCCCGCGCCATTTGGGAGCAGGCAGAGGCCTGATGCGGGTGATGGTGCCCAAATGGTGGTTCCAGTTTCTCCCCAAACACGTGTTGTGTCCCCTCCACCACACATAAAGGGACCCCCTAACACCCATCCCATGATGAGCTCCTGGCTTTCAGTTGGATCTGCCTGGAGCTGTGACACAAGCACTGCTGGTGATGAGCATGAGTGTGACCCCCCCCCGATGTCCTGTCCTTGCAGCGTGAGTGCATCTCCATCCACGTTGGCCAAGCGGGCGTGCAGATCGGCAATGCCTGCTGGGAGCTGTACTGCCTGGAGCACGGCATCCAGCCCGACGGGCAGATGCCCAGTGACAAGACCATCGGCGGCGGGGACGACTCCTTCAACACCTTCTTCAGCGAGACGGGTGCCGGCAAGCACGTGCCCCGCGCCGTCTTCGTGGACCTGGAGCCCACGGTGATCGGTGAGTGTGGGCCGGGGCTGGGGGGATGCAGGCTCCACAGGCCACCGGGTGCTAATGGGCTCTCCCCGCAGATGAGGTGCGCACGGGGACGTACCGGCAGCTCTTCCACCCTGAGCAGCTCATCACGGGCAAGGAGGATGCGGCCAACAACTATGCCCGTGGGCACTACACCATTGGGAAGGAGATCATCGACCTGGTCCTCGACCGCATCCGCAAGCTGGTGGGTACCAGCCTGGGTGGGATCAGCCGCTTCCCCCTCCCCTTGGGCTGTGAATCCCCTTCATCAGGACCCTGCAACCTCCTACAGGAAGGTGGAGCTGCTCTGGGAATGCAGTGGGGGGAATATGGCTTATCTGTACTCTTAGGATAAACTTATTTCATCCTTTTAGTAAGTTCATGGAGGTTTCTATTTGAATATCTGTTCTTTCTTAACCAACTGTTTATTAGCAGTGTCCCCAAAGCTGACATCCTTGGGTGAATATTTGCCATCCTGGGTGACTTGTTAGCCACTTAAACCCTGAATTACTGATGGATCAGTCTTGTCTTTTCTGTTCTTCCAGGCTGACCAGTGCACAGGGCTGCAGGGCTTCCTGGTCTTCCACAGCTTTGGGGGTGGCACCGGCTCCGGCTTCACCTCCTTGCTCATGGAGCGCCTCTCTGTCGACTATGGCAAGAAGTCCAAGCTGGAGTTCTCGATCTACCCAGCCCCGCAGGTCTCCACAGCCGTGGTGGAGCCCTACAACTCCATCCTCACCACCCACACCACCCTGGAGCACTCTGACTGTGCTTTCATGGTGGACAACGAGGCCATCTATGACATCTGCCGCCGCAACCTGGACATCGAGAGGCCCACCTACACCAACCTCAACCGCCTCATCAGCCAGATTGTGTCCTCCATCACTGCCTCCCTGCGCTTCGATGGGGCCCTGAATGTCGACCTGACAGAGTTCCAGACCAACCTGGTGCCGTACCCCCGCATCCACTTCCCTCTGGCCACCTATGCCCCTGTCATCTCAGCTGAGAAAGCTTACCATGAGCAGCTCTCAGTGGCTGAGATCACCAACGCCTGCTTCGAGCCGGCCAACCAGATGGTGAAGTGTGACCCACGGCACGGCAAGTACATGGCGTGCTGCCTGCTGTACCGTGGGGACGTGGTGCCCAAGGATGTCAACGCCGCCATCGCCACCATCAAGACCAAGCGTAGCATCCAGTTCGTGGACTGGTGCCCCACTGGCTTCAAGGTGGGCATCAACTACCAGCCCCCGACGGTGGTGCCTGGCGGGGACCTGGCCAAGGTGCAGCGCGCAGTGTGCATGCTGAGCAACACCACGGCCATCGCCGAGGCCTGGGCCCGCCTGGACCACAAGTTCGACCTGATGTACGCCAAGAGAGCCTTTGTGCACTGGTACGTGGGGGAGGGCATGGAGGAGGGTGAGTTCTCAGAGGCCCGGGAGGACATGGCTGCACTGGAGAAGGATTACGAGGAGGTGGGGGTGGATTCTGTGGAAGGAGAGGGAGAAGAGGAAGGAGAGGAATACTGAGCTCTGAGTTCTTCTGTTGCTGTAGCATGTCCACAAAATGTCTGCTTCAAACACTGCAGCTTCCTTGTGCACTGGGCGGGGTCCAGCCCCGCGAGGGGGGGCCTGCGCTGCTCCAGGCTCGTGTTCTCCAATGTGATCTTGTCGATTTTCCATGTGTCTGTACCATGTCTGTGAATAAAAGGCTTTAAGAGAGGCTGCCCCTGTGTCGGATACAAACCCTCTGTGTCAGCGCCTGGCCCCAGCCCATGGGAACAGACTGTCTCTATTGTCTGTGCCCGGCCAGGCGCTGGGAATGATGGGGCTCCTGCTGGGTGCTGTGCTCTGCATAGCCCTTATGCTCCCTGGGGGGGTGAAGGCCCCTCTTCTCCCTCGATGCTATGGGGCGGGGAGGCTGCCCTGGGATCCCTCCAGAGCTGCCTTGGCTCAAGGTGTCCCCTGGAGAGGAGCTCAGCCCTGGCGGGGATTAACCCGCCGGGATTAGCGCTGGCCCTGGGATTAGCCCCGTCTCTGCTCCCGCCTGGAGGACTCTGTGGGAGCGCGGGGTGGGAAAGCGGCACCCCCCTAAGCCTATCAGAGTGCTCTGCTCCGCCCTCCACCAATAAGCGGCGTTTCATTCACTCCCCCGGGCCAATGGGTGGGAAGGGGCGGGGCCTAGCGGGACTCTTTCGGGCCGTGGAGGCGCGGATACATTGTAGCGAGGTACCGGACGTGAGGGGCGGGGTCAGGCGCGGCGCTTCCCACGGTAATAACGGTAGCACCGGTAGTACCGGTAGCACCCGCCGCTGCTGCCCTGCCCGCCCCGCCCCGCCCCGTCCCGCTGCCGCTGGCCCGGCCATGCTGCCACAGTATGGCCTCTACGGAGCAGGACGCGCTGGCCCTGCGGGAGCAGCTCTTCCATGAGCGGGTCCGCGAGTGCATCGTGAGTACCGGGGCTCCGCGGTGAGGGGTGGGGGAATGGGCACGGTGTGGCCGGGAGCCGGGGGTAGGCTCTGGGAGCCCGGAGTCCCCTGCTTTGGAAGGGCGGCAGCTCTGCGGCTCGGCCGGTGCTGTGCCCCACACCCTGCCCTTATCGGTGCCAGAGCACCGTGGGCTGCCATGTGCCCCATGGATAGCGAGTCCCGGGCTCGCGAGTCCCCAGTCCAGCTCTGGGCTGGAGCCCCGGTGCTGGGCCGTGCCTGCCTCGCCAGAGAGCCCCTGGGAGAGTGCCAGGGTGCGGTGAGTTAGACCCGAGCCAGGCCCCTGGCTCTGTCACTGCCCCGGGGCCAACACTTGGTGTCCCTAGGAAGGAGCCCTGTGGAGCCTCCCCAAAACATGGGCACAATGCAGGGAGGCCAGGCGTGTGTCTCAGGTCCTGCTCTGCTGCCACGGGCTCTGGGATGAGGATGACACGGGTGTCCGGGGCCCTCCAAGATGTTGTGTGTCAGGGAGCACCTCGGGCGGGAGCTCCCCAAACCCACCCTGAGGAGCTCCTGATTCAGCACAGCCAGTGTGGAGCTCATCCAGCCCGACCTCCCTGTGTGTAGAGGGTGTTGGGGGTCCCGGGGTGCAAGCAGAGACGGGAGGATCCTCTGGACCGCCACTCCTGGGGCTCCCTGTGCCCCCACCAGCAGTGCTGCGGGTGCCCCGCTCCACCCGTGCCAAGGTGGCGGCTTCGGGAGACCTTTCCCCGTGCTGCCGCGTACCCGCCGGGATGAAAGGTCACCGCGCTCCCCGCACGCCACGAGCAGGGGCGGCAGCGCTACTGCAGCGGCCTTGGCGCCAGCTTCAAGGCTGCTCCTACGGCGCTGGAGCCGGCAGGGCGGGGGCTGCGGGCTCCGGCTTGTCCTGAGTCCCCCAGTCTGGGTGCTGTGGCAGCCTGTGGGCACCCATGGGTGAGCCCCCATCCCTGACTGCACTGCTTGTGCTCTTCTGCCTGCAGATCTGCACCCTGCTCTTCACCAGCCTCTACGTCCTCTGCCACTTCATTATAACCCACTTCAAGAAGCACACGGACTTTGCAGCAGGTAGGAGGGTGGGAGCTGCTGGAGCTGTGTTCATCCTCCCCAGGGCTTGTTCTTCCATCACCCCCCTGGGAGCTCCAGGTGCAATGGAACAGCAGCAGAGCCCAGACCCACCCCAAGAGGGTTTCTCCAGCACTGGGATGGGCAGGAGTGAAGCCTCCCCCAGCCCAAATGGTTTGGAATGTTCCCCTCTTCAGAGCACGATGATGAGGATGCTGCTGTCAACAGGATCGCGTAAGTTCCTGCCCATCCGAAGCTTCTTCCTGAGCTGGGATATCAGGGCCCCCCATCCTGTGATGTCTGGTGACCGTGGGAACTGACATTGGTCCCTGCCACAGGCTGGGGCTCTGCACCTTCACCCTTGCCGTAGCACTGGGTGCTGTCCTCCTCCTGCCCTTCTCCATCATCAGCAACGAGGTGCTACTCTCCTTCCCCCGCAACTATTACATCCAGTGGCTCAATGGGTCCCTTGTCCATGGTGGGTGCACAGGGTGGCTGCAGGATGCCCCAAGGGCTGTGGGGCAGGGTCTGCCACCCCAGGAGCTCACCCCATTCTTGTCTTCCTCTTCTCCAGGCCTCTGGAACTGGGTCTTCCTCTTCTCCAATTTGTCCCTTGTCTTCCTCATGCCCTTTGCCTACTTCTTCACCGAGTCTGAGGGCTTTGCAGGGTCCAAGAAGGTGGGTGGTGGTGTCCCCCCTTGTCCCTCTCTGTCCCTGGCTCCCCACTAACCCTACTCCCACAGGGCATTATGGCCAGGGTATACGAGACCTCAGTGGTGCTGCTGCTGCTGACACTGCTGGTGCTGGGCATGGTCTGGGTGGCCTCCGCCATCATGGGCAACGACGCAGCCAGTCGCCAGTCGCTCTATGGTGGGTGCAGCCGGGGGGCCTGGGGCTTATGGAGCTCCAGCAGGGCAGGACCAGGCCTTGAAGGGAGGGAGGGTTTCCTCATGCTGCTGGCCTGACCCTGCCATATCCACAGACCTCTGGGAGTACTACCTGCCCTACCTCTACTCCTGCATCTCGCTCTTTGGGGTGCTGCTGCTGCTGCGTGAGTCCTGGGTTGTGGCATGTCCTATGCTGGGTGCTGGTCCCATGGGTGCCTGGCTGAGTGCAGGCTCCAGCCCTTATCCCGGCCTGTTCTGGAGTGCAGGGAGGGGTAGGATCCTGGGTCCCCCCCTCATCCTCTCCTCTCACTGCAGTGTGCACCCCCTTTGGCCTCTCCACCATGTTTACTGTCATGGGGCAGCTGCTGGTGAAGCCCTGGGTAAGGTGCTGTGACCTCCCGGGGGTGTCTGGTCCCACATCCCGGGTGCAGGGTGCACCCACACCCCTCTTGCCTGCTGCTCATGGGCTTCTCACCCATCCCCAGCTCCTGGAAGACCTGGATGAGCAGCTGAGCTGCACAAGGCTGGAGGAAGCCGCTGTGTCCCGCAGGATCTGCTCTGGTGGGTGCCCAGTATGGACACCAATCTGGGCGGGAGCTCAGCATAGATGGGGGCCCCTCTGCCCTCCAGCCCCTCAGCATCTCCTCCCTGGCAGGCAAAGCTTCCTGCTGGCTCAACTTGAACATGGAGCTGCTGCAGGAGCAGCTCTTCACCATCCGGAACAAGAGGCGGAAGCTGGGTGAGGATCCTGGGGGAGAACCAGCTCCCTCCAGCTTGGCACTGGGAGCACCGGTTCCCTGAAAGGGTGGGAACTGTAACCCCCTCTACTGGCACCCATCAATCTGCTGCCCTGATCTGGGGTTTCTGCTCCCCTCTCACCCCTCTCATATCACATCCCCCCCCCTCCCCAGAGCTGCGGCACCGAGCATCTCCCTGGCAGAGGAACCTGGGCTACCCCCTGGCCATGCTGGGCCTCCTGGCGCTGACTGTGAGTGTCCTTGTGCACCAGGGGAGCTGGAGCTCATCCTGGTGGCCTCAACCCCCCTCAACCCCTCCCTGCTCCTCTCAGGGCACCTCTGTGCTCATCGTCTGCTTCCATGTCCTGGAGCTGCTGCTGGATGATGCTGCACTGCCACGGGGCATCGAGGTACTCGGGTGAGGAGGGGATGAGATGGAGACAAGTGTGTCCTATGGGATCAGTCCCACAGCCTCCTCCTCTCCCACCAGGACGCCTCCCTGGGCCAGGTCTCCTTCTCTATCTTCGGCTCCTTTGGTGCTGCCCTCCAGGTCATCCTCATCCTGTATCCTTCCGGCGGGCACTTGTGGCCCCAGCGCTGTCCCCAGGGTTCCCCGTTCTCCTCCTTAACACCCCTCGCAGGTACCTGATGGTCTCCTCTGTTGTGGGCTTCTACAGCTCCCCCCTGTTCAGCCGCCTGCTGCCGGTGCATCAGGACACCCCCCTCACCAAGGTGGGAACACTGCACTTTGTGTGTGTGTCCCCATCCAGATACCACAGGCACAGAGTCCCTATGGGGCTCCAGCACTGGGGTCCACGTTCCCAGCACTGCCCCCCCGAACACTCCTTTCCCTGCCCTAGATCATCGGGAACTGCGTCTCACTGCTAGTGCTCAGCTCGGCCCTGCCTGTCTTCTCCAGGACACTGGGTGAGTTGCATGGGGGGACCCAGTGTGAGCCCAGCCCTGGGTGTCCCCACATGCCCTGACTGCCCCCCCCCCCACGCAGGGATCACCCGCTTCGACCTCCTGGGGGACTTTGGCCGCTTCAACTGGTTGGGGAACTTCTACATCGTGTTCCTGTACAACATGGGCTTCGCGGCCCTCACCACCCTCTGCCTGGTCAAGAGGGTGTCCTGGGCCGTCCAAGCTGAGCTCATCCGTGCCTTTGGTGAGGGGGGGACACGGGGCTGGGGTGGGAGTTGTGTCCTGGTTCCCCCCTCCTCACCTCTTACCCTCTCCCTCTGCCCAGGTCTGCACAAGCTACCTCTGCCTAAGCCGTGCTCCCGGCGCCTCACCCAGCCCTGCTAGTGTGGGGGCCAGGGATGCACCACCCTCTGTCACTGCACGGTCCCAATGGTGCTTCAGGGCCATTGGAGCCCCCCCAGGGAGAGCTGAGGCTCTGCGGGGGGGGAGCTGCCCGTTTCCAGCTGCGCTGCTGAGCCTTGGCCTTGAGCCGTGTCCTTGTCACAGCCCGCCCTGGAGCTGCGCTGGCAGCAGCTCCCCCCTGTCCATTTCCATACCTCATGTAAAAGCATCAGAGTCACTATGGGGGGGGCGCGTGGTCCCTCCATGCCCAGAGGCACCCCGTGTCACACTGGGGGGGCACTGCTTGTCCCCCACCTCCAGGCCTTTGGCCTCCCCGGGGGAGGAGCAGGGCTGGGGGTGAACTCCCCCCGGTGTGAGGAGTCTGTCAGGTCTCTGCTACCAGCAAACTCGGTTGGAGCAATAAAGAGTCTCTTTTTTTATACAGAAATACCTACATTTGCAGGGGTTTATTTACCCTGAGCCCGTGGGGGGCCTCAATCCTGCCCATGCTCCCTCAGTATTGACCTTCATCCTGGCTGGGGTTAAGGAGCTCCTTCGAGGTAGGGCTGATGTTGGGAGCAGCAGCCTTGGGGGGCACCAACCTCTTCGGGGTGCAGGCAGGGAGGGACTGAGGGGCCCGGGGGGGGTCGGTCCCTGCCCCCCTGGAGTGGGGGTGTCATGCAGCTTAGGAGGAAACTGCCCCAGGAACCGGCTCCCCCCCCCTCGGGGCTGGGGGTCCGGACCCCCCCCACCCGGCCGGGGCCGGGCAGGAAGCGCAGGAAGCCTGCTTTATATTGCAGGAAATGAGGCCATCGGTGCCCGCGATTTCCCCGCGATCTGCTCCCCTCCCAGTTACCCCGGGCTGGCACCGGGGCAGCCGCGGGGGGCCGGGCCCACTCCCCCCCGGCCCCTTTCCAACCCTCCACCACCCCGCTGCTGCCTCCTGCCCTCGACGGGGTCCCGGCATCTTTGGGCGCTTCTCCGGGGTGTTGGGGGATGCTGGAGGTGCCTCCGTTCCTGAGAGCGCGGTCCCAGCCCCGGGGGTGCCTCCATCCACGCCGAGCCCGGTCCCGGCGGGGGGGGCCCCGTCCCGGGGTGCGGAGGGGCCGTGCGGGGCAGGGCAGCTCGGCGGGGGCGGCCCCGGGGGATGTGGCCGCCGTTGCCGCCGCTCCCGGGGGCCGGGTCCGAGGCGGGGCTGCCCAGGGCCGGAGCCGAGCGGTCGCAGGTGGGAACAGCCCGGCCGGGGCAGCGCTCGGTGCAGACCGGCACCCAGGGGAGCCGGTACCGGGGCTAGGCCAGGAGCGGGCACCGGTACCGGGGCTCGGACTGAACAGGGGGGACCGGGGTGTTGCCAGGAAGCGGGTCCCGGGAGCGGGGCTGTGCCAGAGGACGGAGCAGGTGCCTGTACCGGCGGCGCAGCGTTAGGATAACGGGTGTCCCCGGTGAGAGGAGTGGCCGGGACCGGGGCCGGCGCCAGGAGAGGGGGGGTCCCTGTCCCGAGGGGCGGTGACAGGACAGGAGAAGGGTCCCGGGGCCAGAAGCGCAGCGTTGGGACCGGAATAAGGGTGTCCCGGTACCGGAGCGACGTGCGGGGAGCGGAGAGAGGAGCCGCTACCGGAGCGCAGGGTTCAGACGGGGAGAGGAGGCGAGTTCGGGGCGCGGGGCGCCGGTGCCTGGTGGCCGGTACCGGGACGCAGCGGGAGGAGCGCGCTCCCCTGGGCTCGGTCTGTGTCGAGGGGTGCGGCGCCAGGCGCGCGGGTGCCGAGCCCGTGGGTGCGGAGCCGGCTGCGGGGGGGCCGTTCCGGTGCCCGGGTGCTGCGCCCCCAGTGGGTGGCGGCACCGGTGGGGGGGGGGGTCAATCATCCCGGGCGGCCGCGGATCCCGCAGCGGCGACGGGGCCGTGGGTGTGAGAAGGAAACGGCGCCGACCCGCCCCTGGCACCGCGACCCTCTAAAAGCCCCGGGGCCGCCGCAGCGGGACCATGCCCGCCCCGGCCGCCCGTGCCCCCGGCCACTGAGCGGGGCCGGTGTCGGCAGCGGGGGTCGGTGGCCGGGATGCCCCGGCGGAGCCCGCTCGCCCTCGGCCTGCTCGGCCTCGCCGCCTGCCTGCTGACCGCACCGGCGCTGGGCTGCGGGCCGGGCCGGGGCCCGGTGGGGCGGCGGCGGCTGGGGCGGCGGCAGCTCTCGCCACTGCTGTACAAGCAGTTCGTGCCCAACGTGCCCGAGCAGACGCTGGGGGCGAGCGGGAAAGCGGAGGGCAAAGTGCTGCGGGGCTCGGAGCGCTTCAGGGACCTGGTGCCCAACTACAACCCCGACATCATCTTCAAGGACGAGGAGAACACGGGCGCGGACCGGCTCATGACCGAGGTGGGGGCTGCGCCCTGTCCGGCCTCGCTCCCGGGGGTACGGGAACGTGGCGGCGGCGGGGAGGCGCGTGGGAGTGCAGCGACCCTCCCCTGGCGGCACTGACCCTGCCGGGGTGCAGGGTCCGACCCTCCGCGGGGCCGGCAGCACCGGCAGACCGGGAGGATGGTGCGGTCACACCGCGCTGGGCATTAAGGAACCACCGCCGGGGACTAACGGGGCGGTGCCGATGGGACGGGCAGCGGGGAGGGGGCGGCCCCGGTACCCGTGCGCCCGGGGCGGCGTGAGGGGAATCCAGGGGGCCGAGAGCCCGGGATGCGCCGCGCCTCGCCCCGCCGGGATGCTCACGGTTGCCATGGCGAGGGGCGGCTCCGAGGTCGCCATGGAGACGGGGGATGCTGCTAGTGGTCCAGGCGGCGGCGGCGGCGGCGGCGGCTCCCGCGGGCCGGGACGCGGGGCCGGCCCGGGGTGCGGGCGGCTGAAAGGGCCCTTTGTGGCCGCTCCGGCATTCCCGGAGCCTGAGGTCAGCTCCGGGCTGGAAGGAGCCCATTGTCGCCGGGCCGGGCCGGGCCGGGCACATTCCTGCTCCCCCGCCGCTGCCGCCCCCCCGACCCGCTTTCCCGGGAGCCGCTTTGTTGCACGGGGGAGCGGGGGGCACCGGGCCGCGAAGGGACGCTGTGACCTCACCGGACCGGGGAAGCTCCGAGCCCCGCAACCCACGTCAGTGCTGCCCAAGAGCCCCCACAATCACCTCAGCTCTGGGCACTGGGGTCCCAGCCCCCCGGTGCAGCCCCCACAAGCCGGCGCTGCGCTCCCCACAGTGCTGCTCCGAGACTCAGGCTTCAGGGTCTGCTGCACCCCCATCTCTGCCCCACAGCCTCCCCGGGTTAATGAGTCACTGCCAGTGCCGCGGGGAAGGTGACACCATCGCTGTCCCCATCCTGGTCCCCTGCTCGTTCTGCCTGGCTGCCTGCGCACCGCGGGACCGGGGGGCATGTTAACGTTCAACCTGCACCCTGGCAGGAGGAGGGCATCTCTGCTGTGGCCCTCTCTGTGCCCATGGGGGCCCGTTTGAGCTCCCCCCAAGCCTCTGCAGGCCTGGTGTCCATCTGTGTGTGTGGTACCTGGCGCTGCCAGGGGCTGGGGGTGACACCAGTGCTGGTCCCCCCGGCAGCGCTGCAAGGAGAGGGTGAACTCTTTGGCCATCGCGGTGATGAACATGTGGCCTGGGGTGAAGCTGCGGGTGACAGAGGGCTGGGATGAGGACGGGCACCACCTCCCTGACTCCCTGCACTACGAGGGCCGTGCGCTGGACATCACCACATCCGACCGGGACCGGCACAAGTATGGCATGCTGGCGCGCCTGGCCGTGGAGGCCGGCTTCGACTGGGTCTACTACGAGTCCAAGGCGCACATCCACGTCTCCGTTAGAGCAGGTACCACATGGGTGGGGGACTGCCATCCCCATCAGCATCACAGCCTCTCAGCATCCTCTGCTCCCCCTTGGCGTCCCAGGTCCATGTGGGATGCAACCCTGCTCCGGTTTGTGTCCAGCGCCAGTGGGTTCAGCCCATGTCTGGCCCCAGCCCTGCACCCCCATTTCTTCCAGCCCCACAGCCCTGCAGCTCCCAGCCCCACAGCTCCCAGCCCCACTGCTCCCAGCCCCGCAGCTCCCAGTCCCACAGCCCCGCAGCCGCTCCAGCCGCCAACCCCCATCCGGCCTAGAAATGACAATCGACAGAAAGTGAAAGTGCCCGTAAATGTCACCGTCGCCAGCCCCGAACAAAGGGCGTCAGTGCGGGGCGGACAAAGGGGCCCTGCAGCGCCCCGGGAGCAGCGCAGGAACCGGGGGTGTTTGGAAAATACCGGCTTTGTTCCGGGGGTGGCTTTGGGGACGGTGGGGGGGTGGGGAGAGGTGGCTCCATTCGTGGCCATTTCCCTTGTGGAGGTGGAGGTGGCCGGCGGGGACAGGGCACCCACGGCTTTCCCCACCCACCCAGATAACTCCTTGGCCGTCCGCACCGGGGGCTGCTTCCCAGGCCACGCCACCGTGACGCTGCAGAGCGGCGAGCGCCGGGGCTTGGCCGACCTGCGCCAGGGCGACTGGGTCCTGGGTGCGGAGCCGGGTGGGCGCCTGGTGCCCACCGAGGTTCTGCTCTTCCTTGACCGCGACCTGGAGCAGCGCGCCTCCTTTGTGGCCATCGAGACGGCCAGCCCTGCTCACCGGCTGCTCCTCACCCCGTCCCACCTGGTTTTCGCGGCCCGCGGGGCGGCCAACACCACCTTCCTGCCCGTCTTTGCCCGCCGTGTGCGCCCTGGGGACGCGGTGCTGGCCCATGGCGCTGGCGGGCAGGGGCTGCGCCCTGCCCGGGTGCTGCGGGTCTCAAGGGAGGACGGCGTCGGGGTCTTCGCCCCGCTCACCTCCCACGGGACCCTGCTGGTCAATGGGGTGCTGGCATCCTGCTACGCCGTCCTGGAGAGCCACCGCTGGGCCCACTGTGCCTTCGCACCGCTCCGCCTCTTCCACGGGCTCCTCTCGCTGCTGCCGCTGCATGCCGAGGCTGGGAACGGGACGGTGCCGGAGGCCGGGATGCACTGGTACTCCCGCCTTCTCTACCGCCTGGCTGGGGGAGTGCTGGGCCACGAGGCCCTGCAGGTATAGGGGGTCCCAGCCCCTCCCAGTCACTGCACTGTAGATCATGCTACACACTGGAAATGGGGGGCTCCAGCCCTGGCCCCTCCTTGAACCCAGGGAGGAGCGATAGGGGTACCCCCGGCCCAGTGGGGAGGTTGGGGTGCCCTCAGCTCAGCTCAGCTGGGGACAGGGTCCCTGGGATGGGGCGTTATGGGGTGGCACAAGAACCTGGGTTCAGCCATCTCCTGTGCCCCGGAGCCCTCCTGCAGCGCTGCTTGGTCCCTGAGCACAGGACCCTGTGTGTTCTCCTGCTATTTATTGCTTTATTAACCACTGTGGCTGGGGCTGCTGCCTGTCGAGCCCAGGCTGGGCACCATCAGACCCTCCCCTAGGGCTGCATCCAGCCCAGGGAAGGCTGAATCCAGCCCGGGGGATGCCGGATCCAGTCCGGGGGATCCCGGATCCAGTCCGGGGGATGCCGAATCCAGCCAGGGGGATGCCGGATCCACCCGGGGGGTGCCGGGCCCGGCTCTAACCGTGCTAACCGCTAACTCGCCCCGCTTGAGAGGTCTATTTTTCTATTTATAAATGATAATATAAATGCTCCCGCCCGCGCCGCGGGGCAGGGCCCAGCCCGCTCCTAACCACGACTGTGTCAGAAACAGAGAATCCTGCTATTTAAGTCTTTGGGTAAATAAAGAGACTCTATGGCCCTTGTGGAGCCCTGCCTGGCGTTTGGGGGGGGGTGGTGGGGTGTCTGGGAATCCCGGTGAGCTGCGGCATTCCAGGGCATGGGGGTCCTGTGGTGGACGGGGGTACCCCGAGTGGAGTCCCTGGGATGGGGGTCCCTGCGGCTGAGCGCGGGGGTCTATGGGGCTGAGGGTGGGGCACTAGGACGCGTGTGCGGCCACCACGTGGCTCCGGCCGTTCCCTCCCGTTTCATGAATGGAGCCCCAGCGCCCCGCGCGGCCTGCAGGCCCCGCCCCTTTCTCGTCCTCCCGGCCAATGGGAGCGGGCGGGCGGGAGCTGTTGTGTCACGTGGAGCCTCCGGTGTAGTGCTGGCGGCACCGCCTCCCCGAGCCGCGGCGGGCGGTTTATAACGCTGGTTTCCGCGCCCGCCCGCGTTCCCCCCGCGCCCCCCCTCCCAGCCGCGGCTGGGGCCATGCCGCTGGTTCGCCACCGCAAAGTGCTCATCCTGGGGTACCGCGCCGTGGGTCAGTGCGGGCCGGGGGGCGCGGGGCGGGCTGCACCCCCGGGGGGGCCCTGCTCCGGGTGGTGGGGAGCGGGGCTGCCCCCAGGGCACGGGGGTGCACCGCGGGGGGGGGCTGTAACGGGCTCCGTGAGTGCTTCCCGCAGCAGCGAGATCGGAGCACGGCGGGTCCCTGCCCCACGTTGGCGTTGTGAGGCTGTGCTTAGCCCAGACACCCCTCTCGGGAGCACCCCGACTCCCCCACCCCGTCCCCACCTCTGTGCTTGTCCCCCCCCCCGTCCAGGCAAAACCTCCCTGGCCCATCAGTTCCTGGAGGGGAAGTTCGTGGAGTGCTACGAGCCCACGGTGGAGAGCAGTAAGTGCCACACCGCGGAGGGGTCCCCCCCTTCCCGCTGCCCCCGTGGGGTCGCGGGTGGTGGGGACTGATGTGTCCCCACTTGTGGGCTGTGCCCCAAAGGGGGCTGAGGCACCCTCGGAGTGTGGGGACGAGGGAGAAGTGGTCCCAGGGAGCCCCGTTAACCTGGCGCCACCTCCGCAGCCTACAACAAGATGGTGGTGGTGGGCAAGGACGAGTTCCAGCTCCAGCTGGTGGACACGGCCGGGCAGGTAACGCTGAGAGATGGGGGGTCCGGGGGGTTCGGGGCTGCTGGACCCTGAGCCCCCGACCCTGGGCTCTGCCCTCCCTAGGACGAGTACAGCATCCTGCCCCACTCCTTCATCATCGGCATCCACGGCTACGTCCTGGTGTACTCGGTGACGTCCCTGCGGAGGTGAGGGGAGGACACGCACCACTTCGCGGTGGGGGGGGAAACAACACTGGTGGGGGGCAGTGCCTGGCTCTCCCCATCTTCTCCGCAGCTTTCAGGTGGTGAAGACCCTTCACAACAAGCTCTATGAGAGCCGGGGGAAGACGCGGTACGTGCTGCCCCTCCTGGGGTGGGGGGGGGTCCAGGCTGGGCCGGCCCCTTACCCTCCCTGTTACCGCAGTATGCCCGTGGTGCTGGTGGGGAACAAGGCAGACCTGTCCCTGCAGAGGTAAGTGGGGGGTGTGGGAGTCCTGTCCCCCTTCCCTAAGGAGCCGGTGCCATCCCACCCGCCCTCTGCCGTGTCAGCCGCCGGGAGGTGAAGACAGATGAAGGGAAGAAGCTGGCGGAGTCCTGGGGGGCAATATTCCTCGAGTCCTCGGCCAAGGAGAGCCAGGTCTGGGGCAGGGGAGGCCGTGCCCGCACCCGGGGCTGGGTCCCCGCAGCGCTGGGGCTGATGCGTCCCCTCGTCCCCAGGTGACCCACGGCATCTTCATGAAGATCATCGAGGAGATCGACCGAGTGGACAACGCCTACAGCACATCCACCGGCTGCCGCCTGATGTGACCCCCCCGTGGGACCTTCCCCCCTACCACGGCACAAGGGCTCTGGGGCCACCTCGTCTCACTTTGCACTGTGGGACCCCTCACTTTGCACAGACTCTGGGGTGCACGAAGGGCTGGGTGTGGGGCAGGGGTCCACATCCCCCCATGCACTGGGCACCGGGTGACTGCGGGTGCTGCCCCGGCGTGGGGCTGCGGGCCGGTCCTGCCGCGCTCGGGGCACTCGCGGCTGCGGGGCTGGAACAATTAAACTTTGTTTTGGCTGTGACCCCCCCTCCGAAGCTGAGTTGGAGGGGGGCTGCTTCCCCAGGGGTGCAGGGGGTGAGGGAGCATATGGGGACCCCCCAGCACCCAAGCATTGGGCCTGAATGGGGCTCAGCATCCCCCTCGGGGGGGGGGGCTCTGCGGCTCTGTACCCCCAACCCGCAGCGTAGGCTGGGGGTGGGGGGTCTGCGGTTCCCACGTGGCAAGGGTTCCCACCCAGCCAGGCCAATTCCTGCCACTTGATGATGGGGGACGAGGAGGTGCCAAGGGGGTATTGGAGTGCAGGCGAGGGGGGTCCTGCACCCCCAAAGCGCCCCCCCCAGCCCCAGAGCTGCCTTTCCGAACCCCGTAGCTGCCCTCGGTGCCCACCCCGGGGCAGCAGGGTACCGAGTGGGCCCGGGTCCTCCCTCCCGCTGGGGGGCGCCCGTGGGGCTCCCCGTGTGCGTGGCCTCGGACGCCCGGTACCGGGAGGGGCTTAGGGCTGCCGGGGCGGGGGGGAGCAGAGCCCGAGAGCAGCACCGGTGTCACGGGACTCGGCCCCTCCCTCCGGCCCCGGTTCACAGGGGTGGGTGTGCTGGGGGGCGTGGCCTGTCCCGTGCCCGGTTCCGCCCCGCCGTGCCCACGTGCGCGCCGCTCGCCCCGGCGCCGCCGGGGTTAAACGTGGCGGAGGGATCCCTCCCTCCCGGCAGCGTGCGCTGCGGCCGTCGCCGTCACACACCCCCCCTTCCCCTCCGCGGCCGCGCAACTCCCGCCGCGCAACGTCTCCCTCCGCCCGAGCCCCCGCCGCTAAATAGTGCGGGCGCGGCGCCCCCCCCTCCCGCCTCTGCCTCGGCCGCGGGCCCCGGGGGCGCAGCGCGGCGGCCCCGGTGGGGCGGGCGGGGGCGGGCGGGGCGGGGCGGGGGGCGGGCGGCGGGACCTACTTTCCTCTGGAAATGGCCGCGCCGGGGAGCACCGTCCGCCCCGCGCCCCGAGGCCCGTCGGCGTAGGGCGGCCGCGGGGGTAAGCGCCGGGCGGGGGACGGGGGGCGGCCCCGAGGGGGCTCACGCGCGGTCGGGACCGGGGTCCAGCGGCCCCACAACGGGGGAGGCCCCGCGCTCGGCCCCGGGCCGCGCCGCCGCCGCCCGGCCAGGCCTCTCCGGGCCCGGAGCGCGGCCCCCGGCTCCCTTTGTGTCCGCTACCGGCGCCGGTATCGCCCGCGGAACCGGTGCGGCTCCAGCCTGAGCCCGAGGCCCGGCCCGGTCCCGCGCTGCGAGGTCCCGGGGCCCGGGTAGGCCGCGGCGGGCCGGGGCAGTGGGCATGGCTCGCTCGGCCCCCCGGGAGGGCCCGGTCGTTCCGGGAGCGGCGGGAGGCGGCGCGGGGGCTCCGGGGCGGGTGAGGGGCGTCCCGCTCGGTGCTGCAGCCCCCCGGGGGGGTGGGCAGGCCCGGCGGGGCCCCTCCACCGCCCCCCCCCTCCCCAGCCCCGGTGCACGTCGGAGCCCTTCCGGGGAGGGCGCAGCGAACCCGGGGAGGCCGTAACCTCCTCCCGGGATCGCCGGGGGCGGGGGTCTGCGGAGCGGCGGTGCTGGGACAGGGACCCCGCTCCGAGCGCGGGGGTCTGGGGGCTGCCCCATTTGTGATGTTCTGGGATGGGGGGGGCACGGTCCCCCCGGTGCTGCCCGGTTTGGGGTCTCCTTTGCCGTGTTTTGGGGTGTACGTGAAGGCCCGGTGGGTCAGTGCTTGGGGGTGACCCCCCCTTGCACCCCTTTTGGGACCGTGTGGGGAAACTGAGCCAGGGGCTGCTGCTGGGGGGGGTGTCCCGGGCACCCTCATTCATCCTGCACCCCAAGTCCTGCTGTGGGAGGAGCAGGGCTGTCCTGAATGTGCCCCCTCGGAGCTGCCATGGGGGGGGTCCCCGTGGCACCCTGGGGGCTGGTGCCCCATGGAACCTTCCCCGTGGGTTTAATCGGGGTCATGCGGTTCCCGTGCAGCCTCAGTGGGGGAACTGTGGGCTATGGGGGGGACTTGGGGGGCTGGAGAGGTGGGGGGGGTGCAGGGTCCCCCATAGAGCCCATGGTCTGCATAGGGAGCGATGCTTCTGCCTCACTGAGAGTCCCACATTCGGTGAGGGCCTGCCCTGTCCCTTGTGTGGGGGGTCCCTGATGGCTCTGCCCCCCCCTGCAGCCGCGGCCCCCCCCCGAGGGACGCCGGAGGCAGAATGGACGAGCAGCAGCCGCCCAGTGAGGAGAAGGACGTGGCCGCGCCAGGTGAGTGCGGGCTGGGAATGGGGGTGCTGGGGGGAGGTTTGGTGCCGTGTCCCCCACCACAGGCGCTGATGCCTGCTCCCCCCCAGCCGATGGGGCCGTGGCTGCGGAGGAGATGGGCAGCGCCGAGGGGGACCCCCTGAAACCCCCCGAAGGAGCCTCCGCGGGGCCGGAGCCCGAGGGCACGGAGAGCACAGACACGCAGGGACCGCCCCAGGCCAGCAGGTGAGGGGGGGGGTCAGGGGGTGACACGGAGCTGAGGGGGGGTCCCAGTGCTCCTCACCCACCCCCTGTGCTCACCTCTCGCAGCCCTCCCCTGCGCCGCTGCGCCCTCTGCAACTGTGGGGCCTGGAGCCCGCACGGGCAGCAGGAGCTGCAGCGCTTTGAGCCTGCACCGGACTGGCGCGAGCGGCTGGGGGGGCACGAGCCCCCCGAGGGGCTTGAACAGGGACCCCCGGAGCTGGAGCCAGAGCCGCTGGGGGATGACCCGGCCCAGGTCGGCTTCTCGGAGGGGGTGACGCTGGCACAGCTCTTTGAGCCCACAGGTGAGCATGGCTGCAGTGCCAGTGTCCCCATCCCACTGCTCCCTACATCCCCATCCCATCACCCCAGTGTCCCCATCCCACTGTTCCTGATGTCCTCATCCCATCACCCCAGTGTCCCCATCCCACTGTTCCTGATGTCCTCATCCCATCACCCCAGTGTCCCCATCCCACTGTTCCTTATGTCCTCATCCCATCACCCCAGTGTCCCCATCCCACTGTTCCTGATGTCCTCATCCCATCACCCCAGTGTCCCCATCCCACTGTTCCTTATGTCCTCATCCCATCACCCCAGTGTCCCCATCCCACTGTTCCTTATGTCCTCATCCCATCATCCCAGTGTCCTCATCCCACTGCTCCCTACATCCCCATCCCACTGTTCCTTATGTCCTCATCCCATCATCCCAGTGTCCTCATCCCACTGCTCCCTACATCCCCATTCCACTGTTCCTTATGTCCTCATCCCATCATCCCAGTGTCCTCATCCCACTGCTCCCTACATCCCCATTGTTTGTTTTTGTGTTTTGTTTTTGTTTTTGTTTTTGTGTTTGTTTTCCCACTGTTCCTTATGTCCTCATCCCATCATCCCAGTGTCCTCATCCCACTGCTCCCTACATCCCCATCCCATCACCCCAGTGTCCCCATCCCACTGCTCCCTACGTCCCGATCCCACTGTTCCTTATGTCCTCATCCCGTCATCCCAGTGTCCTCATCCCACTGCTCCCTACATCCCCATCCTATCATTCCCAGTGTCCCCGTCCCGCTCTCCCCATGTCCCATGCCCGGTGCTGACCCCAGCTTCCCGCAGGGCACTGCTGGGTGCACCGCTGCTGCGCAGCCTGGGCGTGCAGTGCGGAGCAGGAGCCGGGAGCTGTGGACAGAGCTGTTTTCTCAGGGATCTCACAGGTACCCGGCCCCGGGGCGGGGGGGGGGCACCGGTGGG